CAGGTTCGAACCCTTGTCGGGGATCCCACATGCTGTGGGGCAACTAAGCCCGTGAGCCGCAACTAGAGAGCCAGTGCGCTGCAACGAAGAACCCCGCATGCCGCAACTAAGACCTGACACAGCCAAATAAATAATTAAATATTTTTAAAAAAAAGAACCCACTACTTGGAATACTATTCAGCAATCAAAAAGAACAAAGTAACAAAACATGTTACATCATGGATGAACTTGAAAAACATTACACCAATTGGCAAAAGCCAGGCATAAGAGACCACGTATTATAGATTCTAGTAGTATAAAATATCCAGAAAAGGCAAATTGATAGAGAGAAGGTATATTAGTAGTTGCCTGGGGCTGAGAGTGGGGAGAGAGATTAATTGTAAATGGACACAGGGATTTTACTGGGAGTCTGAAAATGTTCTAAAACTGATTTATGCTGATGGTTGTACCACTAGGTAAATTTACTAAAAACCATTGAATTGTATTCCTGCAATGAATAAATCTTATGGTATGTAAAATATACCCCCAATAAAGTTGTTTGAAAGAGAAAAGAACATACGACCATAGGTATGAACCTGGCCAGAAAGCCACTATGAACAGCTGTCTCTAGATACTTAAGAGCTGGAGTTTGGTGCAGAAACAAACCATTATCACCTTGCTTTCCAGCAGGAATCGTCAAAGTGGCCTTCCCAGTCTCACACAAGAGCTTACTGTGCTTCCAAAACTCTAGCTGCAAGGGAGCCTTGGAAATGCAGTTTTTGCTTTCCAACCTCCACAGTTCAGGAAGCACCCTAGGAGGTGACCCCGGGGAATGTGAGGAGTAGGAGAAAAGGAGGCTCCAGAAAGAGGGAACAACATGGACAAAGGCCCTGATGTGTGTTCAGGAAACAGAATGGGCAGGCCATGGTAAGGAGTTTGGATTTTACTCTAGGTGACATGGAAGCTGCTGACAGGTCTCAAGCAGGGTGGTTGCCATGGTCAAATCCGCTTCCCTCTGGTTGCTATGTGGAAAATGGGCTTGGGGGACATGGGTGGAAGCCTGAGGCCGGCAAATGATGGTGGCCAGGATCTGGGTGGTGGCAGAGGAACTGGGAGAAAATGGGTGGACCTGAGATATATCCAGGAGGTAAAATTTATAGGACATGGTAAAAATTGGATGTTAGGGGAGGGGAGGCATAGAGACGACCTCCAGGGTTCAGCCTTATGAGCTGAGAAAAGTCACCTTACTTCTCTCTTGGTTTCCTTTTCTCTGAACTGGAGTTGACTATGATGAGTGCTTAATTCATTCAACAGATATTTACAAATTACCTACTATGTGCTGGGCAGTGGGATAAAAGTGCTTTTCCTGATGTCTGGCCCCAGAGTAAGTGCTTAGGAAAATTTTCCTTTTTGTTTCATCCTTCAGAGCTCACCTCAAGTGCACCTTCCCCCTGGAAGGCTTCCCTGATTCCACCCCAAACTGCACTGCTTTCTCACACTTCTAAGGGTTGGCAATCAGGGCTAGAAGATAGGGTGAAGGAGGAAAGGAATGGGCCAAAACACCCCAGATTTCCAGTGTTAACAACTCTAAGAACACTGATTTCTTCCCACTGGGCCTTTGTTCACGCTCTTTCCTTCTGCCTGAAATATTGTATCTCTTATTTATCCTTTGACTCAGCTTGGATGTTTCCTCCTCCAGGAAGCCTGCTTTGCCCAGCCAGACCAATTTGTTCTGCCATCTGTGTCTACCTTGCATGCTTTACTAACTACGAATTGGTCGTCTGTCTCCCCACTGGATGGGGAGCCCCTTAAGGGCTGGGAGTCGGTCTGGAAAAGTAAAATGGAGGTGACCTGAAGCTTTCAACATCCATTCAACAAATATATATTGAGCACCGACTTCATGCCAGGCCCTTATTTAGGCAGCGTTGATAAAAGCAAACACATATGAGAAGGGAAAGATGGGAAGGATTTCAGTGAAGAGAGAACAAGGTGGGAGGCATCTGTGTTAGTCAGAATTGGCTAAGTTTTGCTGTGGTAACAAAGAAACCCTGACATCTCAGTGACTTAATACAACACAAGTTTATTTCTTCCCTGTGAGAAGTCTGATCTAACTTCCATCTGGTGACGCCAGGGCTCAGAATCCTTCCCTCACATGCTCTGCTCTCTCAACCGGTAGCCTCCCAGGCTTCCTTGGCAGGAATAAAAGGGTTAAGGGGCTCTAACTGCCACAGCCCCAGACTGACACTCCAGCTCACAGCCCATTAGCCAGGACTAGTCACATGACTCCATGCCAACTGCAAGGGAGGCTGGGAAATGTAGGGAAGCACATGCAGCATCTCTGCCACAGCATCCTAGGCCAAGCAAAAGGCACGTGTGTGAGAGGGGGAAGTACAGAGGTATTTGGGGAGCAGCATGCAGACTTTATTAAGGATAAAGCCCCAGTGCCTGACAAGAACTCGCATCAAAACCCCCGTGTCTGGGTTTTTACTTTTTTTCTTTTTTGTGTGTGTGATTGGAGAATGAACGAAGGAAGGAACAAGTGTGTCTGCAAGGCTCAGTTTTGAGTCCCTTCTGGTCTTGGAGCACTAGAGCTAAAGAGGCCATTTATAAGGGTTTACTTGGTGCTAGGCACTATGCTTGGAGCTGGACACCTATTGCTCCATCTCATTTACTCCTTTGAACAACTCTGAGAAAGGTGTAGGGATTACTGTGCCCATTTTACAGATGGGAAGACTGAGGCTCAAGTTGGTTTAATCATTTGTCCAGGACTGAAGCCAATGCCCAGACCCTTTCCATCATGCTGCACTGGTCTGATCACTCTCAGGGGCAGAGGGGAAGTGTTAAATGGCTGGGGGAGTGGCCTTCTCACTCTTCAAATTGTCCCATATCTGAGGAGGTAACAACAGCGGCCACACCAAGCAAGTTTGGAAGGAGAAGAGGGTAGGGTGTATTCTTGGGCAAGTACTTCACTTCTCCACACTCAACTGCAACTCAACTTCAAAAGGACATGACAGCCTTTTGGGGTGGCCATGGGATTGGATGAGAAAGTGTCTGTAAGCACTGAGCATTTAAGAAGTGCTCTGTAAGTGGCCCATGTTACCTGTATTAGGGTGTCCGCCTTCGGGGGGGGTCTGTGAGCAGAGGGTTTCCTGCTAGGGCCCTGATTGCCTTGATGGTGCCAGTGAAGAAAGCCAGAGGGCCTAGAGGAAAGGTCAGCTCTACCTTCAGGCACCTCGGGGCACCTAACCTCTGTGCCGGGTCCCTCATCAGAAAATAGAAATATCCACCGAATGCTCAATTTTACAGCAGGCTTCTGAGAATATTAATGGAGATGGTGGGTGTGAGTGTATTTTATAAGCCCCGAGTCTCCCTCCAACCCCACCTCACCTGAACTGCGGTTCCCTGAGGAGAGGAGCAGAGTCTCAGACACTCTTCCAACCCCTCCTCTCCCTCCCCAAGAAGGTGACCAAAAGCTATTTGCAGAAAAGCCAAATAGCCCATCTGCCCACCAAAAAGAGGGTGTCCAATGCAGAGTCTAAGGCCTGAGGAAATTTCAGAGTTTGAGTCAGAGGTAGCGAAGTGGAAATGAGTGAGCCAAACTCAGCCTCAGACAAGTCGCTTAACCTTTCTGTACCTTGGTTTCCTTGTCAGGAAATTTGGCATAATCGTAGTAATGCCTAGGATTATTGTGAGGAGTAGAAGCATTAATATATGTAAAGTGCATAAGAACTGCCTGACACATGATAAGTGTTGGCTATATGTTACTACTATTATTATTTGATTCACATGATGTCAAAGTTTTTGGATTCAAGTGTCTTCAGATGGCCTCTTCATGTTAGCCCAAGTCTCCACCACTCTCTGTTATCCTACACCCAGCCTGCCTCCCTGCCTGGCCCCAGAAGGTCCCCGGTTAGAGTTGCCAACCGCAACCTGTTCCTTTGTCCTCATTGTGCCTGCCAGATGACACAGGCTGCTGGTTCCTGCCACAGGACAATGACGATCACCAACCTGAGCCAGACCAGCCCTCTAACAATCAGGCAAACTCAAGGCAGGGTCCTGAGCTGCCTCTCACACCCACGGCTCTACCGCAGCTAGCTGTGTGTCTTCTGGCAAGCCCTTCCTCATCTCCAGGCCTCAGTCTCCCCTGGTGTCAAATGGGCTCCAGAGCTCCAGTGCACCTCCCAAGCTTGTTCTGAGATGGGGACAGTGAAGAGGACCTTTCACCCTGCCAAGGTCCCTGATTCCCTTCTCAGCAGAGCTGGGGAGATCTCAGCCTGTCCCCTCTCAATGCTGAAAAGAGAAATCCCAGCTGAGACAGAACTGCAATGAACCGAGGTTATCCAGATGCAGGTTTTATTATCATTGATGGGGAAAGGCGCCTAGACGGTTACATACAAGGCGTGACTTCCAAGGTGATGTTTACAAATTCCTGCACATGTTTATTCCCACAGCCACCACACAACAAAGCAGCACCTACAATGCTTCCCCCCACACAGCTGTGGGTCAGGGCTCTTCCCACCCACAAAAGGATGCCCAAGAAGAGGAGGAGACCCGGGTACTGGGGGTGAAGTTTACACATGGCAAACCCTGACACACGGGCAAGGGATGGAAGCTGGATTTGGATATCATGGCTTCAATCCCACCCACCCTCACTGCCTGTTCACAGCAGAGGCACCCTGCCCCACTCTGGGAATGCCTTAGAAGACACAGCAGGGTCATCTTAGCCAGGGCTAGGGAGGGGAGCAGGCCTGCAGGGGCGGGGGTGAGAGGGACTCTGGGATCTGCCCCCTTGCCAGTGGCGCAAAGTGGAGTAATATGAGGTTTTAACTCATAGGCTGGCTTTCTCACATCCCTGAAGTAGGCGGGTGAGGCCAGGGGGGTTTGATGTGTATGTATACCAGGGGCTCAGGTATGTATGGTCAGGCATCTAAGGAGGACGGAAAAAGGGGGTCACAAAGGGGTAGGGCATACAGGGCTCAAGACATTCTTAGACCCCAAGTTGATTTTACAAGAAACGGGGCTCACTCCTCCAGGGGCACCCTGGCCTAGGCCGCTCGCCGCCCAGGGTGCTGCCGCTTCTCTTCATCCCCCTGGCCCCTGCTCAGGTCATCCAGGAGGCCCAGCAGGAGGCTGGCTTGACCACAGGATCCCCAGGGCCCACATGGGCTTCCCAGGGCCCTCTTTCCTGGATGCTGGCGTTTCTCCGGCATCAGCTCTCCCTCCTCCTCCTCCTCTTCCCAGCTGCTTTGGGCCTGGGGATCTGCCAGCCGTCTGCCTGGGTGCTGCCTCTTGGTGAAAGTGTACCCAAGCCAGGAGGAGCGCCGGCCAGGGTGCTGCCGCTTCTGCTGGCTTATATCCTCTGGCCATGCAGCCACCTCCTCCTGCCGGCCAGTGTGCTGCCGTTTGTGGGGTCCCACGGCCCCTCCTTCCTCTTCCTCTTCCACTCCCTCTTCTGACTCCTCCTCCCTTTTGCCTGGATGCTGACGCTTGGAGAGCCAATATGGTTGAAAGATCTGGGACTCTGGGGAAGGAAAGAGGCCAGTGAGGGACCTCCTGACTCCTAGATGCCCACTTCAGCATTCCTCCCAGTCAAGGCAGATCCCCACAGCATTCACCCAGATTCATGGCCTTGCACCTGCCTCTCAGATCTCACAGACACATAGACACTCACATAGATGGTCAAGGGCATGGCCTCTGGTTCCAGTCTCAGCTCTGCCACTCCCTAGCTGTGTGACCGTAAGCAACTCACTTAACTTCTTTGAGCCTCAGTTTTCTTCTGTGTAAAATGGGGTGTGGGAGGGTAATAACAGTACTTATCTGATGCTTAGGAAGATCCCATCGTGTGATAAGGTGTTTGAAGTGCCTAGAACAGTGCCAGGCATATGCGTGCCTAGTAGGTTGTAATTAACGCTGTCACACACAAAAAGACTCTCTCTCCCTGGCACAGAATCTTTCCTACTGAAGGTCTGCCCTCTGAAATATTCCTGAAACTGCGATGGAAAAGGAATCTGGTCCCAGGAAAGGGTCAACTCACCACCTGCCGAGGGTGTGGCCAGTGGGAGTTTCTGAGCTTCTGAAAGGCAAGAGGCTGAATGACCAAGTCGCTCCCTCCCCTTTGCGGCCGAGTTTCCCCTAAACCTCTCGGGCGTCCTCCTCTCAACCCGCAGCCCCACACAGTCCTGCCCCTTACCTGATTCGCTATCTTCCTGGTCCTCTCGGAGTCGCTGGAGGTCTTCCCGGAGGAGGAGGAGGGGCTCCGCCTGCCGCAGGAGGTCGTCCAGGCCCAGTTGCTGGGCGGCCATAGCCGCCTCCTGCTGGGCCACCTCCTGCTGTGCGCGGCCGCCGGGGACACCGGTCAGGGTCAGGGTCAAAACAATGGCAAGCAGAAACCAAGGGCCGGACATCGCGGCGCCTGGGGTAGGGAGGACAGGGAGAGAGAGCATAGGTGCCCCGCGCTCCCCTCCCAGCCGATTCTATCGCCCGTTTTCCCGTCCTAGGGGAACCCCTAGGCCAGGGGGAACCAACCGTTCAAACACCCTTCCGGAGCAGGACCACCTGCCACCTTACGGGGGGCGGGGCGGGGACAGCCGGAGGGTCTGCCTCGGGTCCTGGGCGTCCTCACCCGCAGGGATGCTTGGAGAGCCTGCCCGCGCTCAGTTCTGCCTGCGCGAGCCTGGAAGCCGTGGGAGCCCCATCGCCACCGCCACTTCTCAAGGCTACGCGGAGCTGGGGACCAGCGCTGGGGCTGACTCTCCAGGAGTGTAACCACGAAGACTGCAGCGCGGGTCCGACGGCCAGGATGCTAATTGCAGCGTCGCAGGCTAAAATTCTCCCCAAGTTTCCCAGCGCAACGCTCTCATTCCAATACTCCTTCTACAACGTTCTGAGTGCAACGCTGACTCTATTTCTAATGCTAAGATTCTATGGCTAGGCTACGAATCTAATTCTAACGCTAAAATCCTAATTTCAACGTTAACTCCACCTCTAAAATCCTATTTTAGCGCTGAGAGTGAGATTCTAAGGCTGAGATTCGATTCCACCGCGAAAATTCTGTTTCTAACGTCCGGGTTCGAATTCTAACTCCCAAGATCTCCCGCCGATGTCCTGCCCAGCGCTGCCCCAGCTGGCTCCCCGGCAGGGGCAGGATGCGAATCTTCCCCCGACACGCTGCGCGAGCGCTGCAGAGGCCGGGACATGCGTGCCCACCCGGGAGGGACCGCCACCACTGCCCGCGCCGTGCCTCCATCGGGCCCCGGCCTGAGCTGTGGAAGATCCGGGGGTACGAGCGCAGCGCCCCTCCTGGGCGCGCTCCGGGCTCGAAAGCCGCCGCTTTCCTCGGGGCGCACCCGAAGGCGGGCGGAGGGCCCCCTTTCCAGGGCTACAGACGCGGCCTGCGGGGGAGAAGGGACGGAGGTAGTTACCTGCCCGGCGCGAGCTCCGCGGACTGGTCCGGGATCCTGGGCTCCGATCCGGAGTTTTGGGGTCTGGAGTGGGCGGGTCAGGAGTCGGGGAGCGCTCGCAGGACCCGGGACGCCGGCTGCCAGCTTCTCGGCGGGGCTGTTGCTTATATCTGCGCGAGGCGGCGGCGCGGGTGAGGTCAGCGGGGAGGGGTCGCGGCCTCCGGGAAGGGACGCTGACGGCAGCCGGCCCCGTGGGTACCCCGCCCGCCCGCCTGCCTGCCCGCCCGCCTGCCAGCCAGCTCCGCCGGAACTATGGGGCGGGGGCGGCGGGGGCGGCGGGGGGTGGGAGGGGGAGCGAGGAGGCACAAGCGGCAGAATAGGGGGCTGGTGGCGGGTTGTTTCTGCACCCAGCTTCGAAGGTCTTCGAGAACACTCGTGTAGGGGACAGAGAGTTGCTGAGAGAATCACACAATTACAAAGATGCACACAGGAGAAAATCGGAGATAGAGACAGAGACCGAGAGATGCATACAGAGAGAGATACAGAGCAGTCACACACCAGAGAGACCGAAAGACACAGAGGCAGTCAAGACGGGAGGCGGCGAAGGGAGGGAGAGTATAGGAGAGACTGAGAAATGAATAAAGTGGACAAGTGGACCTGGGCTTTGATCTGGACTCTGTCACCTCTGGAAAATGCCTCCCCCTCTCTGGCCAAATTTCCTCATCCGTACAGTGGGGGAGGGAGACAGTTTTCAGAGTTCCAAAACTGATGGCCTATGGGCTACCACTAGTTCATAGCTGGTTTTGTTTGAGTACCATAGTGTTTTTTGAAAAAAATCTGAATAACCAACATCTTAAAACCAGGAGAACTCAGGAAAAATATGGATTTATGGCTTCTCTTGAAAATCTCTTGGGAAAATGTGGTCTTGCATTTCCTCCTGACAACAGCCAGCTGGAGCTGAGCCTGGCTGATCCTGGTCACTACACTCTCCACCACTTTCTACTTCCAATGTGTGGCTCTAGTCATGGAGGAGGAACATTGGAGTTTGTGACTCCCTGATGAGAAGTGTTTTTGGATCTACCTCACCCAGGCAAAAGAGGGGAGAGGATACAGGGAAAAGCATAGATGCCGAGGAACTTGTCCACCAATCAGTCCCCAAAGTCAGATGATGCATTGGAGGAGAGCGTTGCCACATCTAGTACTAGGCACAGCCTCCGTACTGAAACATTTAATGGGCACCCACAGTGTGCCAGGCTCCTTGGTCCCTCCTGGAGAGACAGAAGTGTGCCAGGCATATTTAGAGGGGACGACATTTTAGGCAGAGCGAACAACATCAGTGAAGGCATCTCCTACCTCTGGACAGTCTCAACATTATTCTCTCTCCCCATACGATACTTCTTCAGCCTAAAACTTTCAGTACCTGTTGTATGTCTCAGGCCACGCCGGTGGCTTGACAAGGGAACCCAAAGTGTTTCATTGTTACTCCTTTCCTTGGCAGAGCACCCAACTTTCCAGGTACCTCCATCATCTCACTGCATCCTTACATCACCCTTACATCATCCTTACCTCTCAAGATAAATGAGGTAGGGACTATTAGTCCCACTTTACAGATCGGGACACAGAGGCCTGGAGAGGCAGAAAGACTCTGAAGGCTAGAGGTGGAAGGGAACTTTCAGATCACCAGCTATAGTCCGCTCCTTGTTTTTAGATGAGGAAACTGAGGTCTGGCGAGATGGCCTGATCACCTTCCCAACTCCCAGGCACACTTCATGTCCCCAGGCTTGATCTCACAGCCAGACCCTGGATTTGAAGAATTGCCACCCTAGCTAAGCATTAAATCAGACAGACACATAGACCTGCTATCTTTCATATACAGTGGTGGAGGTGTAAATCGATACCATCTCTTTCGTTGGCAACCTGAAAATTTAACACATACGTACCTTCCACAAGACAATTGCGTTTCCCAGAATTCATCCTACAGATACCCACACCTGTGCATGTTGTATACACAGGGTATTCAGTGCAGCATGATTTATAGAAGCCAGAACTGCAAACAGCCTGGTTGTCTGTCAATCAGGAGAGGTTTGCTTAAATCAACTAGGGCCCATCCAGAACTATGGGGTACTATGCTGCTTTTAAAAGAACGCGGGGGCTTCCCTGGTGGCACAGTAGTTGAGAGTCCACCTGCCGATGCAGGGGACATGGGTTCGTGCCCTGGTCTGGGAAGATCCCACATGCCGCGGAGCGGCTAGGCCCGTGAGCCATTGCCGTTGAGCCTGCGCGTCCGGAGCCTGTGCTCTGCAACGGGAGAGGCCACAACAGTGAGAGGCCCACATACCGCAAAAATAAATAAATAAATAAATAAATAAATAAATAAATAAATAAATAAAAGAACGAGGCAGTGTCACATGTGTGGATGTGGAATAAGCTCCAGGATATATATATATATATATATATATATATATATATATATATTTTTTTTTTTTTTAATTTATTTATTTTTATTTTTGGCTGCGTTCAGTCTGTTGCTGCGCATGGGCTTTTCTCTAGTTGCGGTGAGCATGGGCTACTCTTCATTGTGCTGCACAGGCTTCTCATTGGGTGTCTTCCCTTGTTGCGGAGCATGGGTTCTAGGCACACGGGCTTCCGTAGTTGCAGCGTGTGGGCTCAGTAGTTGTGGGTCTCGGGCTCTAGAGCGCAGGCTCAGTAGTTGTGGCACACGGGCTTAGTTGCTCCGTGGCAAGTGGGATCCTCCCAGACCAGGGCTCGAACCTGTGCCGTGCATTGGCAGGTGGATTCTTAACCACTGCGCCACCAGGGAAGTTAAGTGAAAAAGAGAACAATTTGTACAGGAGATGGACTGTGTGATGGTGCAGGAGATGGACCGTGATGCTCTTATGCAGAGACTCCCTCCGGAGGGATGCAAGAGTACAGCGCCAGCAAGCTGGGGAGCCAGAGAAGGGGAGGGCAGTTGGGGGCTTGCTTTCACTGGCAGCCCTTAGTGGTGTTTGGATTTTTTCTAAGTGCAGGATTACCTATCCACAAACCAACAAACAGCACCAAAACACAAAACAACAAAATCTTGTGCGAGTCTGAGACTGGAAAGGAGTGATGCGTGGATGGATAGAAAAGCTGCCTCTCAGAGGGTGAAGTGGCTGGAACATTGCCCCCTGGTGAGCCCATTCTATGCATTTCTATAATCAGGTATCTGAGATGCTTGTTAGGAGGAGAGTTCCTGGATGGCTGGGGCGTGGGGAAGGAGTTCCCACATAGCGCAAGGGACCAGAGAGGATAGTACAGGCATCTGAGGTGTCCTCAGCAAGCCAACTTTCTCCCTCCCTTCCTCCTTCCCTCCCTTCCTTCTTTCAGCAAATATCCACTGAGCCCTTAGTAGGTACTAGGACCTGTTCAAGACCTTGGGCACTGTATTAATGATGTGTTTCTGATGTTTTGACCTCTGGGGTCTTGCTGACTCTGGAAGGCCTGCCCCTCCCTGGGTAGCCAGTTCCTAGAGATAGTAAAGAACTCCCATGAGAACACCTTTCACATACAAACTAACCAATCCAGAGCCCTAATCCCCCAGGGTCAGGTGCCAGACCAGTAGGGACAGCCCTGATGCCCCAGAGCTCACTAGTATTATTCAAACTAGCCAATCCTAAACCTGTTTACCCCACTTCACCTGTTCCATCCCGAGACACCACAATAAAGGCTCTTGCCCACTTTTCCCCCACTCCCTGGTCCCTCTGCCTCCTGATGGACCTTGGTGCTTCCCCTTGCGGCCCTGCATGGTGTGGTCTGCCCCCCTCTTGGGAACTGTGAGTAATTCAGTGACAGTCGTCTCCTGATCTCTTGGCTTTACCACACCTGAATAATGATAAAAATTACATTTTAAAACAGAGACCCACCAGGACAACAAATCAGGGACTTCCTTTCTCTCATGGAACGAAGAGTCCAGTCAATATATTGCATATATTTTTCTAGCTTGCTTTATTTTTTCATCTGATGATAAAAATGTGCTTGATTTCAAAACTGTAGCTGCTTATCAAATTAATATGGCTATGCTTGTGAAAATGAATAATGGGGTAATTTAATGGTGAGTTTGTATGCTATTTCTGACTCCCAGTGCCTACAACTACCACCGCCACCCACCCCAACACACACACATACGTCTTCCTGAAGGAGGGCTATTGAGTCCCTGGGAGGGTTTGAAGCAGCCTCACTCAAAGTTATATGTTCATTAAAAAATGAAAAGGTAGGCTGGGTGAGGCTGCTTCAGACCTTCTTCAGCTTAGGGTTGATAAAAACCCTGCAATATCTGTGGGACATCTCTGAACAGGGAGCAGAGGGATTTTGAGAGAGGAGGACAGAGGAACTCAGGGAAGGCAGGGTCTTGAAATCAAGCACATTTTTGTCATCAGATGAAGAAAAAACCAAGTTAGAAAAGTATATGCAATATAATGACTGGACTCTTAGCTCCATGAGAGAGAAAGGAGGACCCTAACTTGTTGTTCGGCTGGGTCGCTGCTTTAAAATGACCTCTTCCCCCCTTTCTCTTATTGTGTGTGACCCTCTCCCCGCCCCACACCCACTGTGTGCCTGGGCTGGAACTGTGCTGGACACCTGGACATATATTGGAAATACTTGTTGAATAAAGAAATAAATCCATGATTGAATTAAGAACTGAAAAGTTTGCAGTGGATTCATCATCAGCAAAGTCATCGGTCAACTGGGTCAAAAATCTCCAATGGAATCTGATTAGGGGGGTTTCTGGAGTGAATTTATACGGAGAAAAGACAGACACTAAATGGACTCTTCTTCCTGGAATCCTTGAGATAATTTTTATGATCTTGGGGAAGAGAGGACCTTTATCATTTTTTTTTTTTTTTTTTTTTGCGGTACGTGAGCCTCTCACTGATGTGACCTCTCCCGTTGCGGAGCACAGGCTCCGGACGCGCAGGCCTAGCGGCCATGGCTCATGGGCCCAGCCGCTCCACGGCAAGGGGGGTCTTCCCGGACTGGGACACGAACCCGTGTCCCCTGCATTGGCAGGCGGACTCTCAACCACTGTGCCACCAGGGAAGCCCACCTTTATTATTTTGACAGCAAAAGCAGAACACAAAGGAAAGAACTGAATATATAAAAGGTACCATTTTCTGTAATTAAAAAGCCACCATGTGGTGGATACAAAAACATACACAGGATAAAATTGCATAGAACTGTCTGTACACATGCACACACATGAGTACAAGTAAAATGGGAAATCTGAAAAAGTTCAGTGGATTGTGTCAGTGGCTGGAATATAGTACTATAATTTTCCAATTTTAACCATTAGGGGAAGCTGGGGAAAGGGTACCTATGACCTCTTTGTATTATCTCTTAAAACGCAGGTAGGGAATTCCCTGGTGGTCCAGTGGTTAGGACTTGGCGCTTTCATTGCTGAGGGTCTGGGTTCATT